TTTTTTGTGTGTCTGGGGAGAGGCCTGGAAATCAGAATACAAGTGCTCCCCAGATACTAGAGCTTTAAATAACAATAGTTCTATATGTCATAGCACAATCATTGCACTTAATGAACGTATCCTATGGTGCCAGGGACTACACAAGTGTGCCTGCGTTTTTAAAATTGTATCCTTAAATCTGCTCTGCCTGATAGGTATTACTACCAATTTCTAAGTAAGAAAACTGAAGCGCCATGCAGCTGGGCAACAAGGCCGTGAACACGCAGCTTTTGTTGTCGCAAGGCTGAAAAGGCAGGGTCTTCTGACTTCTATGCCTGGATTCTTTGGTCTACACAACTTGCCTCTTCCAGGAGCCCACCTTTCTGTTACCGGTCTGTTACCAGTGCCTGTTACTGGTGGGCAGTCAACAAACCATTGTGGAACGAACAAATGCCATGAAGGACCTCCAAGGTCCCTCTCGGCAAAAACATGCCCAAATTCTGCAATTCAAGGTTGCTAAGAATACAATACACTTTGTATTAGAATACTAAACACTTTGAGAACCACATTAGGTCACGTCAGGACTCGACTGTCAACACTCTTTAATTTATGCTTTAAGCACTTGTCTTCCATGTCTAGGTTTCAGTGAACTCCTCTGCTTACAGTCTGGTTCTGCTCAACCTAAGTCATAACAGCAATTGCATATGTGATAACACCCATAAAGCCTTTCAAAGAAAGGAATTAGCTCCTAATAAGAATCGAAGAGCTAATGTGCCAGCTACAGGTCCTTAAATAGACCTCGCATTCCAAGTAAATTCCTCTGCACATCACTGAGAACGCATTCCACTAAATAGTGTCTGTCACAAGACATCGTCTTTCCAGGGCCAAATGCTTTTCACGCAAGTTAAGAGTGATTACACAGGACTAAGCTATTGGCTGCAACTAAGAAATTCCACACTTAGGTGTGAAACCGTCTGCGAAAAGGTTCCCGCTTTCCCTCAAATCGGGAATGAAACAAATCGAGGCTTCTGGCTGGCTCGGTCGGCTAGGGCTCTGACTTCGGCTCAGGTCATGATCTCACAGTTCGTGGGTGTGAGTCCCATGTCGGGCTCTGTGACAGCTCAGAGCCTGAAACCTGCTTCTGATTCTGTGTCTCCCTCTCTCTCTGCCCCTACCCCACTCGTGCTCTGTCTCTCTCACGCGCTGTCAAAAATAAATATTAAAAAAGAAAACAAAGGAATGAAACAAATGTATCCATATGCAGAAACAAGGTCTTACTTTGTCACTCAGGTGTCTGGAATCTATGTTATAATGGTATGAAAATGCCGGGCCTCAGGCCACAAAGAGACCACTTGGAAGGGCTTGACTGCCACCGCGTGGTCAATGCATGCGTTACCGTCCCAAAGCGAGGGCCGACGCGGTCTATGCGCTGCTCTAAGCCACCTCTTTTATGACAAGAATGCTTATGACACCTTTTGACATGCCCCAATAAGCTAAAAGAGAAGAAAGGTGTTAAAATGTCTGTCAACAGTCCTTGGATGGGAATAGGTTGTTTTAAACAACTGGTTGCTCTAAGGCAATAATACCTGAGATGATTTTAAATGCTCCTAGTTTTGAAAAAGCACGTATTTTTCAAATTCTCTCTCCATTGGCTGTGTTTCAAAGAAAACGATTTTGTAAGTGCAAGAAAGGGCCTAAATCCAGAATATTTTCTCGATTCTCTATTTCCCCAGCTAATTTTTCTCTTTTTTCCCTCCCTCCCTTCCTACTTTCCTTTCTTCATTACCTGTAAACTTTCTTGTTTAAATTCCTTCGTAAATGAAGCCCAGTATCCAATCTATCTGTTACTTCCTAGCTGTGTGGCTTTAAGTAAGTTCCTTTACCCCTCTGCTCTCTTTAAACATCTAAAGAATGGTTTTTACATTTCTAAAAACTTGAGGGGGAACCAACAAATAATAAGATGGGGCAGAGAAGACATATGGTCCACACAGCCTTCTACAATATGAAATACACAACATACACATCTCCATCTCAGAGTCTGTTTCCCAGAGAACAGACCTTAAGACATCCCTCTGCAGTCTACTCCTATCATCATCGCTAGAGTTACCCTGTTCAAGGCAAGATCATTACTCCTGTTTGCAACTCAGCAACTCCCCTTTTATCAGAAACAAAGGATGGGAGCCTTGCCACTTGCACCCCAGTCCCAGAACCTCTCTGACTTCATCTCCTACTCCTCTGCCCCTCAATCACTCCAGCTGCACTGGCTTCCTTGCGTCTCCTCAAACTTGCCAGGCATGCTCCTGCCTCAGGGCCTTTGCACGTACTCTTTTGGCTTCCTGGAATGCTCTTGGCCCAGTTATCTCCCTGCATTGCTTCCCGGGTCACCTATTCCAAATCGGAAGGCCTTCCCTGACCCTCCACTTAAGTGTACCAGACTCCGCTTCCCCCAAGAAATCTACATCCCTTGCCCCTCCCGGCTTTAGTTTTCTCCTTAGTGAGTATCAGCATCTGGCACACAGTGTAATTTCACTTATTTATATTGTTTACTGTCTGTCTCCTCCACCGGAACGTAAGCTCCATGAGGGCAAGGACATTTTTCTGTTCTTTTCCCAGAACCTAAAACACTAACTGGTACATGGTAGTTACTCACTCAGTATTTGCTGAACAAGCAAAGCAAGTGAAAGGACGGAAGCTTCTGGATGTGGGGCCAGAAGAGCTGTGATCTTTAGGGAAGTCCTCTCCCTTAAACCGCGTCTGATTTTCCTCACGTGAGAAATGGGAATAATTCTTCTGTCATTTTTGTAAAAGTTATGCAATACAACATTTGGGAAAGCATCGTAGAATCATCTGCTAAATAAACGTAAGGCATAATTTTTGCTTAAACCGAATTCCTCATCAGTGAGCTACTGACTTTTATGACCTAGAGCCACCAGATTGCCAAAAAGTAAGGGTGTAGCATGAAGACGCAGAAAACCTTGAAAATTGTTCTGGTATTCAAATAAAATACAAAACGATTTATTTCAAAGCCATACCCAAAATGTACAAACAATGAAATCTCTTTTCAAGACTTAATTTTCAAAAGCACTCCTTACATTTAAATTTTATAACCATTTGAAGGTCTTTTGCTCCCATAGAAAAAGTCTGACAAAAGTTAACTCCATAAAGTGTTAAATGGACTCGTGTTTATATAAAAGCATTCTCTCTACAAATGTAAAATATTTCAATATAATAGTTGCATTATGAAAATGTCCTCCATTTCTGGAATTCTTGCTAGTCTATAGAATTGTATTTCTACACACTTCTTAAAATGAGGTAAGCTCAACGCTGACATTTTTTTCAGATACTTTTTCTAGAAGTTTACACTCTTGATTAAAAGTATAATGCTGCCTTTAAATTTCTTTTAAAGTGAAATCTTTTCCCAGGAGTGACTCTATTCTGCACGAAGCACAGCCATACCACTCACTTAAATATTCATGTGTTGTGATTCTTTTTACACAATTTTCACATCGAAATCAAAAGTATTACTATAGTCCTTCACTACTTTCTTTACAGAGATCTTAATAAATATCCCTAAACTCTGGAAGACTGTTCATAAACCTTTAAAGCAGGGGTCAGCAAACTTGTTCTGTAAAGGTCCATATAAAAAAATACTTTGGGTTTCTCAAGTTACTATTCTGCTGCCTACTCTTTTTTTTTTTTTTTTTACAACGCTAAAATGTTTTTTAAAAAAATCTGCAGCCCTGTTAATCATCTACTTTAAAAAATAGAAGTCATTCATCTCTAAATTAGATTTCTCAAGTGTTAATAAAATGTAAACTTCACATTTCGCAGTAAATTAAATCCATGGTTTCTGACCCCTGGATTGAAAGTTCATAAACAGTAAGAAATTAATCCCAGAGAGTGGGACCGCATTTCAGATATTCTTTTTAATCAACAGCACTTTCTCATGGGCTGCTTTTTCATTTTGAAATGGAGAATTCACGTGTGTCTTTACTTTTTTTTTTTTTTTGGTTTTTGTTTTTGATAGGGAAAAAGTCTCTTCATGTAGCTAATCTGGAGTCTACAAGCTCAAAGGGAAACACTCCCGTGCAAAAGGAGGCAGAAGCATCACACAGGCGTGTGCAGTCACGAATACCTGCACCGAAACCACCATGTGATACAGAAATTCAACCTAACTGCTCTCCAGGGCTAAGAAGGAATTAAGGGCCACCAGCTAGAAGGTATCCAAAGCAGTCCTAACGGATGGTCTAATTTATTTTTATCGTATGTAGCTGTTGCATTTGGGGAAAACATGATTTGCATATGAAATATGGGAATATAAACTGATGCAACGGCATGGTTTATTGAGGTTCTTGGTGCATGTAGCCTGGAGTTTACTAAAAAGATAGAGCAGAGAATTCTGTGGGAGATACTTTGGACTCTGAGAGAGTAAAACAGACCTGGGTAGAACATTGTTTGATCTCTGACATGGAGTAGGCTACCTATAGCCTGGTACTGAAAATCACAACGGGGCGTGTGTGTGTGTGTGTGTGTGTGTGTGTGTGTGTGTGTGTAGTATGTTGTTTTCCTTTCCTACCACAAAGTGTCGTGAACAGATTTTGGCAAATAAAAAAAGCTGCTGTGAATTTACTTAAATACATCAGAAACACATTGGAAGCCACTAGAATTCTAATCCCATGGTCATCTGCAAAAACATTTACAAATTCTAAAGCCAAGAAGGTTGACAACTTTGGTATACCTAAGAAACGCAAATACATCAGCGAGCCCATGCCTTATTTTTAAACTATAAAAAGTAAAGTTTTCAGTGCAAAAATAGTATCTTGATAAATAGCTATGACACGAAAATCACGGGAAACAGTTAAAGACTCTAAAACATGTAAGTAATATCCTGAAGGCATGTTTTGGTCCAGAAAAGGTAATTTGGGGTTAGGAGATAACTAGTTGTTTTACTTATTTAACTGTGAGAGCCTGGGTGGTGGAATGTTTAAACAAACAGACTTTTACAAACAGACTCGGCACATTTATAGCTCATCACGTTTTTTCCTAAACGGCCATTTCGGGTGTTGTAATACGTGGTCTGCCGCCTGAAGGACAAGGTACATGAATTCTTCTACATCGAAAGAGTAGTTGGTAAACTTTGGATGTTCCCCCAGAGTCGGGTGGTGGCCCTGCAAAAACAGTCACAGAGCTGTAAGTCACTAATGACATGGTTTTCGGAATAGGAACATAATTATTTTACTTTGGCCAAGGCAACTATTTTAATTTATGCTCTGCATCAGAAACTGGCAATTTTTTTTCAGTACAGAGCTGGGTAACACATCTTTCCAGCTCTGTGGGCCATACAGTATCTGTTACAATTACTCAACTCCACCAGGGAAGTGCACAAGCAGCCAAAGAACACATGGAAACAGAGAAGCGAGACTGTCCCAATAAAACTTTATTTATAAAAACAGGGGGTGGGCTAGATTTGGCCCTAGCAGTCTATAGTTTGCTGATCTCTCCTGTATATAATTTAAAAGATCTTTCGAGGCTCAAATTTCACAAAGTTGTCTTCTCAACATAAAGATAGGGAGTGATTAATTTCCCTTCTCCCAACTTGCAAATATAAAATACAACTCACTATTTTAGGAGGACAGTTTATCTCTGGACTGAAGTTTAAGGGCAGTTTTTCATATTAATCAGACACTTTAAACCAATTAAAATGAAAAAAAAGAGGTGAGTTTTGTCACTGAACTTTACCTTATCCTGAGGAAAGACTTTATTCTGCCTTCGCCAAGTGATGTAATGGATCCCTCTCAGCCTGGCCAGGTCTAAGTAGCAGCGCTCATCTCCACAGTTGTACCTAAGGGCACAAGGGCACCCACCGTGAGACTTGTGTCCAGGGGTTTTGCCAAATCAACACCTGTCTGGGGAATAACACACCTCCCAAATATGTTCCTGCAAAAGGTCGTGTAAACAGTACACAAGATTGATGGAGATTATTTTTTAAATATCTTCATAAGTGAACTACTTTATTTTATTTTTAAATTTTTTTATACATTTATTTATTTTTTGAGAGACATGGAGAGACAGAGCACAAGTTGGGGAGGGGCAGAGAGAAAAGGAAACACAGAATCCGAAGCAGGCTCCAGGCTCCAAGCTGTCAGCACAGAGCCTGACGCGGGGCTCGAACTCACAAACTGAAATCATGACCTGAGCCGAAGTCGGACGTTCAACCGACTGAGCTACCCAGGTGCTCCTTAACTTTAAAATATCCAGAGAGGATCAAGGAATGGAGGGAACTAAAGTCTATCAAGAGGGCCGACTGACTGTGGACTCGGTATTATCTCCTAATATCCAGTCTACACACATGGAAGTGGACTTAGGGGAGTAACACATCCAAGGGCACATAGCTAGGGAAGCAGAAATGGAAACCTAGTCACCTGAGCAACAAGGCCTGAGCACTATCAACCACCTCTTCCTTCCTTCCTTCTCTCCCTCTCTTTGGGAGAAATGAAGCATTGAGATAGAATCCATAATTATCTGGCTATTTCTCTAATGTATATGTATTTCAAATATTTTTGCAAACTGTTGGAAGTTCACAATTTTTTTTCCTAAATGGTCTCTCATTCAAATACTGAATGAAGTGGTTTTTAAAGTGAAACTGTAACATCTAGGTATACAGACACAAAGAGCGAAATGGGGGAACGGTAGCCACTGTTGGCATGCCCAGAACTAAAGATGGGGCGTGGTGTCTATGGCAGAATCACTAAGGGGGAGAAGGCCATGTCTCTATCATTGCCCATCCAGTTAGAGGAGCACCCCAGGAAAATCACTGTCCTCTTGAGGCCTCGCTTTCCCTGAGTATAGAATCAGTGAGCAGCAGGCAACATGGTAGGCCTGTGCTTTGGAGCTGTGCTCTTCATGAGACAAACAGGTGCTTGAACTCGCTCTCTTTTTAACTGTGGTAGAAAACACTTAACATGGAATTTACCGTCATAACCATTTTTAAGCACACAGCTCAGTAGTGCTAAGTGCACTCACTCACACGATGCAACCATTCTCCAGAAATTCCCCATCTTGCAATCTGAAACGTGACTCCATTCAATACGAACTCTTCATTTTTCTCTCCCCTGTGGGCTCCAGGAAACCACCATTCTACTCTGTCTCTGTGAATGTCACTACTCTGGGTACCTCACGTAAGTGAAATCACACCGTATGTGTCCTTCAGGGAGTGGTTTATTTAGCTGAACATAATGTCCTCAAGGATCATCCGTGTTGTAACACGTGACAGGATTTCCTTCTTTTTAAAGGCTGAGTAATGCTTTACTGGAGATATACAGATATACCCACATTTCCACATTTTGTTTATGCATTCATCCGCTGATGGACGTTTCGGTGGCTTTCACATCTTGGCTGCCGTGAATAAGGGTGCCATGAACACAGGTATGCAGTATACAGGTTCCTTTTTATCAGCATGATGGCACAGAGTGTAGAGAGATGGTCCCAGTCTGAGAAGGACACAGCAACGAGCTTTCAGGAAGGAAGTCACAGACTCCCATCTCCCGCATCATACCGAGATGGAGGGAGAAAGGGGTGTTTGCTTGCTAACTGTAATGGCAGCTACAGACTTCACATATTTAGTTTTAGGTCTGTTTTCTCTCTAGATGCCTGTATGATGTGACTTTCTGGTAATGATTAAGTATTCTGCCTTTTGGGGGCATCTGGGTAGCTCAGTCTTTTGAGTGTCCAACTTCAGCCCAGGACATGATCTCGAGATCCGTGGGTGCAAGCCTTGTGTTGGGCACGGTGCTGACAGTTCGGAGCCTGGAGCCTGCTTCGGATTTTGGGTCTCCCTCTCTCTCTGCCCCTCCCCAACCCACGTTCTGTCTCTCTTGCTCTCAAAAATAAATAAACATAAAAAATTTTTTTAAAAAAGTATTCCACCTTTTGAAGCTCTGAATGGCAGTCTCAGCCATGCACAAAAAGCATTATTTGTGGCCTCAGTGTACAAGTTGTCTCCAAACACTTACAGTTCAAAGACAGCAGCCCAGTCTGGAAGGAAGAGTAAATGGGTAAGACCAGCTCCATGCATTCCAATAAATATGTCCGTGTTATGACTGATCCTCAGCTGATCTAAAAACCCAAGTTCCCTGTGAACACATAGAACAAAAGAAGACAGAGGGGAGAAGAGAGAGACCGTTGGGTTGAGTTACTCCTGACTCATGGTAACAGTATTCATACAAGCGCCTTTCCCAACTTAAATCACATGCCACTATGGCTTTTTGCCAAGTCCAAGCCTACTCCAATAATTAATAAGTTAATTATTTAATAATTTAACATTGTTTTCTAAGTAAGCTCACTTTAAAAAAAAAAAACTTAAATGTATTTTTTTTTAAAAAGATTTTATTTTTAAGTAATCTCTATACAACGTGGGGCTCAAACTCACAACCCTGAGATCAAGAGCCGTAAGCTCTCCCCACCGAGCCAGGCAGCAGCCCCTAAGTGCATTTATTTTAGAAGGAAACTTTGAGAGCTGTCTTAAATGAAAAACCAGTAGTGCATGACAAACAAAACTGTAAAGACAGATACAATCAAATGAAAAAGTTTCAAATCTAGGTAGGTACTATTGAAGGAAGAGCTGTGAGCCTAAGGCCTGCTCTTTCTTTAAGAAAAAAGGAAATTAGCAGGTACTACAGAGATGTTATGTTGTACTAGCATCAAACTGAAAACTAGTTCCTTAAGATAACAAAAGGACTTTTTTTTTGTAAAATAAATTCTCCTTGTGAGACTGGAGTTCATTCAATGCCATCTGGGTATACCTAAAATTATCTCAGATACCACGAGGGCATTGTCCTGCCTTTGCAACAGACTAATCCTCAAGTTTTATGCACATCGAGATCGTTAAAGTGTCCTCGGAATTCCAGACCCTAAAAGATATGCAAACTCTGAACTGAAAGTCAGTGCCAATAAAGTCCACTGAAGTGAGGCTGCAGTAAGTATAACATTCTGAATATACATAATGGAATTAGACCTCCCATTCCCTCTTACCCAAAGTAAAAAGAAAAAAAAGAAAAAAAAAAGGAAAAGAAAAAAATTACCAAGATTATTTTGGATTTAAGAAGAGAATGTGAAATCCCAGCTTCTCCTCTTTATTATTTTTTTTTTATTTTCATTTTTCCAGCTTCTCCTCTTTAAAGAGCTTCCTCTCGAAGTAAATGAAAACCCCACGTTCCACACAGAGAAAGAAGACAAGGGCACCATGTGTGTGCTTCACACGAGGTACACGTGCCTCAGTTTCTCAAAGAATGCCAACTGATGCCACAGGAAGGGTGGGTATTTGCCCAGGTAGGAATGACCCTGGAGTCACCCGGTGTGGAAAATGTCTGAGGATAAGGAGGCAAAGCTCCATCTATTACGTTAGTAACGCTTCCCTCAGATTGGCAATGTCTGAATTTACTGCCGTTCCTCCTTCAGCTGGGAAACCTGCGCGGGGCACAGTTTCTTAAAAGCCAGTCAACAACGGAGCCTCCCCAGTTCCTGCAGCCTGACGTCCGGCCCTCTTCTTCCTTCCTGTGGCAATGATGGTAGTCACCACTGCGCAGTGTAATTTGTAAAACAGTAACAGTTTCGCCAACTTCGTAAGACCAGAGGGAGAACTGAGATAAAGCAAGCGAAGCATAACAGTAAGTCTCAACAAATCGTAGCTGTTCTTAAGATTGCTGTGTATTTGTATTCATTGTCTACGGTGCTGAAGACAAGAGCCATGCCATCCTCCATATCTGGATTCCTATTTCAAAGGCTGTGCCCAGCTCATGGCAGACACACCATAAAGATTTATTGTATCAGTGAACGCATGCATGGTGAATAAGGTGAGGAAATCCCATGCTCACTGGTAAGTTTGGTTTTTTTTTTTTAAAGTAGTCTCCTCCACACCCAACATGGAGCTTGAGCTCAACGACCTGGAAGTCAAGAGTCACATGCTCTACTGACTGAGCCAGACAGATGCGCCTCTTACTGGCTTCTAACCTATTAAAGACATTCATATGCTGGTATACGTATGCTTTTTTTTTTTTTTTTAACATAGAAACTCTTTATAGTGTTTAATTTGGAAAACAAGACAGTGACTGTGAGTGGGGCAAATGGAGGAGAGTTTTCACCTTTCCTTTTGCGCTTTTTTCAATACTGCTTGGCTTTTCCAACCAGGAACATCTATTTTACAGCATCATTGTTTTTTCTATCATTCATTGTTTTTTCTACTGTCTATAGACAGTAGATGCGAGGCATATTGTGTCTAAGCCTTTTACTTCTGTTGGAATTTTAAAAGAAGTATAAATACTTTTTAATATTTTTTAGAAACCTCATATTATTCTACGACACTCAAATTATTCCCATATGAGTTGAAATGTGGCAACTAGCAGGACACATGAGTCCAGTAATATTTTTTAAATTCAGAATTAGTTGCCAACTTTTAAAAATCCAGAAATGTCAGGGGCGCCTGAGTGGCTCAGTAGGCTAAGCATCCGACTTCAGCTAAGGTCATGATCTCATAGTTTGTGGGTTCAAGAACCACGTCAGGCTCTGTGCTGACAGCTTGGAGCCTGGAGCCTGTTTTGGCTTCTTTGTCTCCCTCTCTCTCTCTCTCTGCCCCACCCTCACTCACACTCTGTCCCTCTCTCTCTCTCTCAAAAATAAACATTTAAAATAATAATAATAATAATAATAATAATAATAATAAATAAAAACACAGAAATTTCAAATGAAAATCTCGGTTCCTCACTTCTCTTGAAAAATGAGACGGGGTTGAAATATTGGACCCCACAGAGCTGAAGAGTGACTGCCCCTGTGCCCTGGTGCAACCCCCATCACCACCAGGGGCCCTCTCCTGCCCTGGGGCCCTTCCCTGCTGGCTACACTCACTGATGCTTCTGCCTGTCCCTCCCTGGTCTATCAGTGCCAAAAGCTACCATTTGAAAAAATCCTTCGACCCCTGTTAATGCATCCAAGCCAAAGATGACAGTGTCTGCTCAAGGGTGAGGTATCACTTACTTATACTTGTAATCGACAATCCGAACCTCAAGTGTAGATACTGTTTTCAGTGCATTTACCAGCTAGGGAAGAAACAGAAACATTTAGAATTTCTTTTTTTCTTTATCTTCTGTTTTATTTTCCTCTGAGTCTTAAAATTTCTGTTTTTCATACAAAATACTTTTCAGGTATTACATATCATTCAGGTTTAGTGTTTTAACCCTTAACTGAATTCAAATGCAGATTTCACCCCTTGGTCGCATTATTCTACCACCCTAAAACCCTGCTGTGCTGGGTTGTCATTTGGCTGAGAGTGGAAAATTCACGAGAGGGGGGCACCTGGGTGTCTCAGGAGGTTAAGCGTCCGACTTTGGTTCAGGTCCTGATCTCACAGTTTGTGAGTTTGAGCCCTCATCAGGCTGTGTGCTGACAGCTCAGAGCCTGGAGCCTGCTTTGGATTCTGTGTCTCCCTCTCTCTCTGCCCCTCCCCTGCTCACACTCTGTCATGCTGTCTCTCTCTTTCTCAAAAATAAATACAAAACATTAAAAAAAAATTCATGAGAGCAAAGTGGCACAGAAGCCAGTAGGCGTTAACGGCCATGGTTACTACTTGCTAGTTATTCCTTCCGTTTCTCAATGTGTATTTGCTGGGCACCTACCTTGTTCCAGGTTTTATGTTAAGAGTTTTCTCCCTACCCATTATCTCACTTCAGACAAACCACTTGTGCTTTGGACCTTATCTTCTGAAAACGCTAAATTCTTGGCAGAAAAATGTTTTCAATATTTCTACACAGAAAAAGACAATTATTCTCTTAGCAAACTAAGTAACAAAGCACGATTAACCTATTATCAGAAACACAGCCATGGTTCTCTATGTCCCTCACAATTAAGCCATCTTGAACCGACCTATGACAGCAATGGTAACCAAAGTATCCCTTCAATTGTGCTGGCATTGCTCGGTACTTTGGTGAATGTCACTTAATCCTCATACAGTCTCATACTGAGTAAATATTCTTATGCCTATTTTTATTAAAGATTTTATTTTTTTAATGTTTATTTATTTGAAAGAGAGAGAGTGAGCAAGCATGTGAGCACAAGTGGGAGAGAGGGAGAGACAGATGAAGAGAAAGAATGCCAAGCAGGTTCCACTTGGCACAGAGCCTGATGTGGGGCTTGATCTCACAAACCTTGAGATCATGACGTGAGCCGAAATCAAAAGCTGGATGCTTAACCGAGTCACCCTGGCACCCCAAAGATTTTATTTTTAATTAATTTCTACATCCAGCATGGGGCCCAAACTTAGAACCCTGAGATTAAGGGTCTACCGACCAAGCCAGCCAGGTGCTCCCGTATGCCTATTTTTAAATGATACAACGGAGGCTGAAAGATGTTAAGGACCTTTCCCAGAATCTCCCAGCTAGCAAATGGCACAGCCAAAACTAAATCTAGGTCATCTGACCCCCAAACCTGTGTTCTCAGCCAGTACCCTGTACTCTCCCATGTATTAAAAGCAACAGACAGGGATTTACATCCAGTCCCCACCCCCGTTAAGCACGCACACACACACATAGAATGGAAGTTTCTCTCTCTAGACAGCTCCTGAACTCCCATAAGTATGCTGCTTATGTCAAGGAGCTGAAGGAGGGAGGATAGATTAGAATCCGTTTTTCAGGAGGGAATTAATCCCAGGGCATGAGCCCGGGTCCCGTAATATGTGTCCACATAAAACACATCACTTGTTTCAGAGGGTCCCCTGGCAAACAGGCTCTTGTTCACAATTTCTAGTCACACCATGGAGGTGGCCAGAGCTCTCTCGACCTTGAGGCTGGGCAGGACTGCAGGAACCACCATCCAATGAGAGCATGGGGGGTTTAATCATGTATTCACGAATCAACGTAGAGTCGAACGTGCTTTCTTCTCTGCTTGGTAGCTACCTTCTCAAGTGATGCCAATTACTGAGACAAAAGCAGCCAGTGGGTGCTCACTGGCTTAGAGTTCAGATCTGAACTTCCAGATCTCACCTCTGGGCAACATGGTGCGGGCGATCTGTGTGACCGGATGTGAACATGTCGGTGGCTGACCGGCAGCACCCAGCACCACCCCTTTCCACTGGATGGATGATGTTCCTTCGCCAGCCTTCCCGACACGGCCTCCTGTCACATCTATTTGTGTTAGAGCAGTGGCAGTCTCTGGTTCAGAAGCAGGCTCAGACTCTGACCACCTCAGCTCACCCCCGCCTCCATTATTCTGCTCACCAGCTGCGTGACCTCAAGCATGTTTTTTTTTTTATCGCTTAAGCCTCAGTGTTCTTTTCTAAAACAGAGGATAATAACAAAATATGTACCTCACGGGTTTGCTGGAAGCAATGGGGAACATAGAGTAATATTCTTGGCATATAATTAGCACTCAATATGTGTTACCTCTACCAATATATACTACTGGTCTGCCTGTCCATAAGGGTTCCATCCATCAACCCCAACATGGCATCATTTGATAGATTTGTATTTCCGGGTCTTTAAAACACACACACACACACACACACACACACACACACACACACACACACACACTGCTCATTTCTTCCACCCACAACGTACAATCATTGTCTCATTACAGCATATGTTCATAATCCATATGGATCTCAAGACACTAATTGCATAATTTTGATCAGCCTGTTAGGCATCCACACTAATTTGTGTAAAACACTTTACCCATCCAAACCTGCCCCCATCCCCCCCTCCTACTGAGCTTTTCCCACCTCAGTTCCACTGACCTGATCAAGCTAAAAGCCCGGGAGTTCACCCTTGATCCTCAGTGCTTGGCCTGACCGAACATGCACCTACATATTCAGCCAGGAAGTATCCCAGACTCGATCTCCGAGACAGATCTTAAATCCATTTACTTTGTCATCTCTGCTGTCATCACCTTCGTCCAAACTCTTCCCGGGGCCACAGTGACAGCTCTGAATGATACCCCCTGTTCCTACTCTTGCAGCCAAAGTGGTTTACAAATAAATGAATAAGCCAGTTCGTGTCTCTGCCTGTGTATTTATTTTCTATTAGCTGCTACAACAAATTACCACAGACTCTATAGCTCACGGCCACACAACTGACCCACTCAATGTTGTGCAGGACAGCAGTCCAACAGTGAGACAGATGGCTATCTGCAGGGCTGTGCTCCTTCTGGAGGCTCTAGGAGAGAATTCGTTTCCACCTTCTAGGAGCCATTGCATTCCTTGGCTCAGGGCCTCTTCCTCCATATTCAAGGCCAGGGATGTGGCATCCCTCTGGCCCTGCTTCTGTCCTCATGACTCCCTTCTGGATTCTGTCTCCTTCTTCCACTTTCAAGGACATGCGGAACTAAAATGTGCTCAGTGAGAAGAATCCAGCTAAGCAGAGAGCTTTCAGGCAGAGGCAATGGTTCTCTGGTGGAGAATGCTTAAAGCTCATTTGTGATTCCATCAGGCCCTGCTGGATAATCCAGGGTAATCTCCCCACCTTCAGACCAGCTGACGAGCGACCTTAATTTCACCTACAAACTCAGCATCCCTCTGCCACGTAACCTAATCTTGTCACAGGTTCTAGGGATTCGGATGGGGACATCTTCTGGAGGAGGCCCAGTATTCTGCCTACCATACCCTGCCCAAAACTTCACGGTGGTTTCTCCCACACCGGAATAGAACCCGCTCATTTTCTCAGCTAGGCCTATGAGGCCAAGAGGATATAGGACCTCTCTACCGCCTGCCCAACTTCTCTGACCTCTTCTAGGGTCGCCCCCACCTTTCCTGCTGTGCTACAGCTGCCTGGTGATCTCTCCATTCCTGGAGCACCTAAAGCCTGGACATCACAGGCCATCTGCTTCTGCCTGGGAGGCTCTCTCCTTGGCTGGCTTCTTAGCGATCAGGTCTCTGCCCAACAGCACCTCTTCAGATATCTCACCTGACTGCTTCCCCTTCCTCCTGCATCTCTGGCCCCTCTACCCCATCACCTTGTTTTACTTCCTTTGTGGCACTTACTACTACCTGAAATCACCTTACTTAGGGACTTGTTTACTTATTTCTTGTCTGTCTCACCCAGAGAGCATAAGTTCTGTGAGGGCAGGGATCTCACTTATCTTGTCCTCTACGGTAGCTCCAGGGCCTAGAATACAGCCCAACACATAGCAGGTGCTCAAGACATTTTTGTGGACTCAGTCATACTATTGTGAGAACACCTGCCAACCAGGCTGTTATAGGCAAGGGCCTTGCATGGTGATCTTATCTCAGTTAAATATAATTTAAGAGCTGATGCTGTCAAAATAAAGTACAAAACCTAAGAGGTGAATAATTTCCAGAACACACAGTCATGAAAAGAATGGAGATTCTTCTAACTTAAGTCTGCCTCTGGATGCCACAGTATTGCCACACTCCATCAATCATCTCTCAAAAGATACTCTTGCATTTTTGCCGCTAGTTTGTACAGAGGCAGAATGTCTGGCAATCTATGGCAGTAAAGGCAGGACGCAAGAGATAGTTTCTGCCTCTGTTTCCACTCTGAGTTGTGGCAGGTGAACGTTTACAGTAAGGCGAAGCTAGTTTGGGCAATTGGTGGTTTGCTGACCCCCAGTAGGAGTCTAGTAGATGAACTGGGCATAGCCATCAAACTTTGCTAAAAGCTAATAATTTCCAATCAAAGCATGTAGTGCAGTGTGAAAAAAATTAAGCACATGAGTTACAGGAAGTTAAATTCAACATGATGGTATTAAAAACGCATACCAAAAACTAACCTCGTTTTGGTTTAGAATTTTCCGGTACTCTGTACTCCGTGCAAGAATGGTGACTCGGATTCTTCCATCCTGTCATCAAAAGGAAAAGGCAAAATAATGCTGTATATGCCTGCACAGATGAATGAATACTAGAACCTAAAATGTGATTTTCACAAAGCGATGAAACTCAATCAGGATATATTTAGGGAACAAGTACTTGTTTAGCCTGATTCCTTCAGACTTCCCTCAGGAAATAAAACTGCATCCATTTTAGCCACAGAAGACAAAACTTGTTTACTACACTTCTGTTTGATTGGCTGGGTGGAATTTTTAGCAGGGATTTGTGGGTTAGGCGGGGGCTGGGGGAAGAGCAAGGAGATACGGAGAAAGACAGGAGAAAGAGAATGGAGAAAAAAGTACATTCTTCCACCGTCCCTTATTTATCTGTCATAGGCTGGTGACATCTGATTTTGGATCACTCACTCCAGGCAAGAAATTATTAACCCCAGAAAACACTGTCTTCCGCTGGTTTCTTTTTCTGCAAAGGTGCCATTGGTTTTTATTTTGGGTGAAGTCAGGCCCAAGTCAGAACCTATAATGTACTCCTTACCTTGGGGCCCTCTTGTGTGATGTTCAGTCTGTGCAGCACATGCTGGGAAAATGCCCTGAATAATCCCGTGTTCTGACAGCCAGATATCTAACATGAAAACAATAATTCATGTTACAGTGAGCCATTCGGCCTTACTATTTAGGATGTTCTCAAGATACAAATAAACATTTATCTTAAAATCTATCCAGAATAAGTGTATAAATATGAATATTAACACCCGTTGACATGCTTACCAAAGGGGTATTATAGAACAGCCCGTATCGCATCCGGGGGAGTAGGGAAAAAATAGCTTCTTTAAAACACACCTAAGAATGAAGGTATTGTACAAGGTAAGAGAACACAATTTGCACACTGCACACCAAAATAGTACTTAAAATTACAGAAAACAAATTTTAATTAATCTCTTTTTTGCATTAAAATATTTTGAACAGCAAGCTATTTCACTCAAGTGAAAATCATAATTTTGGAAAAGTTAAAGGGAAAAGTTTTTTAATGCTACCTAGTTAAAAACAATTATTCTAGTCATAAAAAAAAAGCAACTACGAAGTCAAAAATCAATGGTAATAGCTAATAGAAACTCGTATTAAATATTTATTCGATGAGTGAGTCATCTGTAATGACTGTTATTTAGAGACATTTCAGGAAAGTTTCCAGTACCCTTTTGGAATCATAAGTTTTCAAATGTATAACATCATAATCCGTAAATGCTCTCCATGTGTCAGAGAATAGGTCACCATACCCATAGGAGCTCTGAAAGTGAAAACAAAATAGGTTAGGGCCATGGAAGGATGCAATATGGCTTTTTAAAAATGCAACAAAATACTCGAATAAGCTTGTTAGTCTTAAGAACTAACGATGCTAAACCAGCTCAAAAAATCCATAGAAGAAACACGGATTTTCATCTTGGGCCTGAGCAAATACCTAATTTGATGGAATGTCATCAGAAATAATCACCACAAGGGGCACCTGGGTAGCTCAGTCAGTTAAGGGTCCAACTTCGGCTCAGGTCATGATCTCACAATTCTGTGAGTTCGAGCCCTGCACCAGGCTCTGTGCTGACAGCTCAGAGCCTGGAGCCTGCTTAGGATTCTGTGTCTCCCTTTCTCTCTGCCCCTCTCCCGCATGTGCTCTCTTTCACTCTCAAAAATAAAATAAGCATTAAAAATTTTTATTTAAAAAAGAAGTAATCACCACAATTATACTCTTAGTCTGCTGAAAACATTTGGTTTTTCTACCCTATCTGTTCTTATACTCACATCTCTGAATGGTAGTTGGTGTGGGGTTTTTTTCCCTGTGAGTCTTCTATCCAAATCACAGACATATGACACCATTTGTACACACTAGGATAGCTCAGTAAGCAAAAACAATCAGGGTAAATGGATTACACTTCTGAAGAAATTTCAAAGCAAGAAAATGCTTTGGAAGTCCTAACATTAAACTATGATGAATGCTTTTCTTTTTTTTTTTTTTTTAATGTTTATTTTTGAGAGAGAGAGACAGATAGAGGGGAAGGGGTAAAGAGAGACACACAGATTCTGAAGCAGGCTCCAGGCTCCAAGCTGACAGCACAGAGCCTGACACGGGGCTCGAACACACAAAGTGCAAGATCGTGACCTGAGCTGAAGTCAGACACTTAACCGAATGAGCCACCCAGGCACCCCACCCCGATGAGCGTTTTTCTAAGAAATGATCTCCTCATTGACCAAAGAGTAACATGTGACAATTCCCCATTAACATTAAGAGTAATAATAATTATAATAGCATCTTGCATATTTCCTACATCTCAGGCATGCTTTTAAGCACTTAAAATTATTAACACCCCACAAACTTAATAACCTAGGGGATACCATTATCCCCATTTTACAGATGAGGAAACAGAGATACAAATTTAAGTAGTTTGCATAAATGGCAGTGCTGGTATGTTTGCAGGGTTGAGATTAAATTCAGTCGGTTTGCTTCCAGAGTCCAAGCTTTTAACCTCTGTACACAATTGCCTCTCAGAGGGAAATAGGTCTTTCTAGTACATTTACCAAGTGCATTCTATTTTTGCAAAGCAGAAATTAATTACATGCTCCCTCAGCTAAAGGAAGGAGATCAGTTTCTTTAAAAATGGTATAACTTGGATTGAAAAATTCAGCCAAAAGAAATAAGAATTATGTATTGTAGGATTAGATGCAAGGTCTACAGTTGGTTAAACATTATGCTCATGTCTTTTTATCATTATAGCAATTCTTTTTTCAGATTTTGAAATTTTTATGTTGCACATATTAGAGTTATTTCAAAGTTATTGAGAACTGTTAGATGTAGTGATAAAAAAAAATTTTCCCCTTCGATGTTCCTCCAATGCCCTAATAAAGGCCCTTCTCAACACCATCAAAAATGAAATGTCCCTATTCTGGCTCAATAATAAATAAAGGGCAATTAAAAGAGTGATTCGAGACAGTTTCTTGAGATAAAATACTTCAGATAAAATAAGATACCTTTGAAAGGAAAATTTAATAATAAAATACAGCAATCCTGACTTTTCAGGGAAATCATGTATTATTCAGTAACAACCACCTCCAAAAGGTTCTTTTCCACAGCCCTCAACTTCAAATTATCTGCCACAGGGGAAGGACTTCTTTCTAGTCTCAGGTTGAAGAATATTTGGATATTCTTGAAGATGCCATAAAATTTCCTCCTGTGTATGTCTCCAATTTAAACATGCAAATAACCTATGACTTAGAAAGTCTACTTACAGGAATACATCCCACAGAAAAGCTGGGATAAGTGTATAAAGACACATGTATGTGGGAGGGATGTTCAATGCATTTCAGTAAGTAGCAAAAAAAAAAAATGGCAATACATGAAATATGATTGGGGGGTGGCAGGACATGATACATGCACTGAGGCATGTGTTGGATATCCCTAGCATCTACCAAATATCATGTAACCATACACACAAAAAACTAATAATAACCCTAAATGTACCCACTGGGAAAGATGCCCCTGATATAATACTAAACTAGGATATGAGAGAGCATATTTTCTCTAAGGATATAAACAAACACATCCCTACATAAATTTTATTATATCCTTCTACAGATCCTTACATAGATTTTGTATGAGGATATCTTCATATTTGCTAAAGTCAAGTCTTATAAGGGACTCCCACGTTAACTGCAGTTTGTTACTGTTGAGGGAAATGAACTTGGAGAAGAAGAAGAAGGGGAAGAGACCTTTTTCTTTCTTTCCTTCCTTCCTTCCTTCCTTCCTTCCTTCCTTCCTTCTTTCTTTTTCTCTTCCTTCCTTCCTTCCTTCCTTCCTTCCTTCCTTCCTTCCTTCCTT